CTTCCCTGCTCAGCTAAGCCGGTCTCCTGATATCTCTGCTTGTCTTCCTGACTCTTGTGATGGACCGTTCTTGCCCTTGGAGGATGCTGTCCTTAAAAACTCGCCAGTTTTTCTAAGCTCCTTTGTCCTTCACAGCTGCTTCCCATGGGATCCCCCTACCAGTTCCCTGAGGAAGCTGAAATCTGCTCTCCTGAAGTCCAGGGTCTGCACCCTGCTGCTCTTCTTCCTCACTCCCCTCAGGATCTGCAACTCCTCTCTTTCATGGTCGCTACAGCCGAGGCTGCTAATAATTATCACATCCCCAACCAACGAGCTCCTCCCTGTTAGTGATCCAGCTGTGCATCACCCTGGGTGGCCCATAGAGTACCCGTATACCCCTATCAAGAAGTTATCTTCAGTGCCCTGCAGCAATGTAGAGGACTCCCTGATTTGCCCAGAGATAGAAGCAGTATTTAATGTTTCTTTTGTGATTTTTTTTCCTATTACTTTGAACACAGGTGGATTTCTAGCACCCATGGTGTTGTGGAGCAGAGATCTACAGGGTAACCAGGAGCCGTTGCTGGCTTTCTCTGCTTGCCAAGTTTGTCCCTGGCCATGCGAGCTGAGGGACTGTGAACGATCATCACTGTTCACCTGGTGTCATTTAGGGTTTTCATGGACTTCATGTTTCTCTCCCAACCATTTCTTACTTAGCCTGTAAGCTCCCAGACTATTTAACCAGTCTGTTAATGGAGGCCTTTCCATGTGACTCTGAACTGATTATTCCTATCGCTTTCTTGCATTTGCTTTTTCTTTCTTCTGTGTTGTCTTGGAGATGGGGAAAGAGATTCAAGATGTAAGCTTGCCATGGACTTCTGCAGTTTCATAGCAATGGTTTCTATTTTGTTCTGTTGTTTTTCCTAATTCCTGTAGCTCAGCTGGGAGTGTTTTTTTTAGACAGCTGTTGGACGTTGAACTGCCATTTCACTGAACTTATCGCTACCCGGTGACCTTGTTCTTGAGCAATAATAGTGAGTTCAGGGTTCATTACTGTTAATGTGAAATCGGAATTGCTTCTTCTCATCTGCGTCGCTTTGCATTTGTCAAACCAGGGCTTCATCTGCTCTGTTATCACCCATTTCCTCAGTATCGCTAAGTGCTGCAGTTCTTCACAGTTGCCTTTCACTACCCTGAAGTTTGCAGATGTTACTAAGTTATTAATCATTCTGGTCTGGGCTGCTCTTAGTCCTTTTGGGGATGTGCAGCAGAACAAACTCATTTTAATAAGATTTGGTATTTGTATCCTTTTGCAGTTCTGTGCACTTTCTGTTTCTCTGTTCAGTGCTATTTTTGTCCTTTCTTGTGACTTTTCTAGTTCTAATTGCTGCCTTTTTTGTCCCAGTTTGGTCTTTGACCATCTTTGTGTTGCTGCTTCTGGAGGCTTTTTTGACTCTCACCAACTCCTAAAACATTCTGATTTTTCTTTCCCATTTCTCTGTATGTATCTTTTCCTTTCAGTCAATTCCACCCAACTTTGCCCAGCTGTGGGAAACTAATGCATAGGAAGAAGTAAATATAAGTTGTTGTGATAAAGTTTTACCGGTGTTGTGGTATTTAGCAGCGTGGACACCAGCAAAATATCATAGTACCTTGACAGATTAAGGCGAGTTTTTCTCCCATCAGCGGTCTGTGTGGCAGGCTTTCCCCCCCAACAGAATCCGTCCTATAGCTAGACTGTGGAACACCTCCATCGCACTGCTCTTCCCATGAAGTTTTGGCTTTGCTGGTTTTATCGGATTTCCTTGGTGAGAATTCCCGGTTTTGCTTGCTCCTTCCCCACGCTCCTGGCATGGGTTTGCAAACAATCAGAACATGCATCTTTGCCACGTAGGTTTTTGCAAATTCCTCGGCTCAGCGCGTTTGCTGCACAGTGAGCCCGAACTCCTACCTCTCCACCCCCTCTGCTGTTGCTGATTCGAGTGCCCTCTGGGCTGCTGTTCAGCTGCTGCCCCCAGCTCGCAGGCTGCTTCTGTGCCCAGAGCCTGCTCCTCCGTGCAGTGCTCCACAGAGGCAGACCTTCAGTGTTACGCCCACGGTTCAGCCCTAGCGGTCTCGAAGACCGGTCCCCTGGAACTGGAGGGGCAAGAAGGTCACTCTGACCTCTTCTTCAGCTCTCTTCCCGTTTCTCTAAAGTCTCCTAAAATCCTGCACTGTGCCGTGTCAGTGGTTCCAGTGTGTCATTGCCAGAAAATCTAATGGTCTAGTGTGTTCTCGTCACTACAGAGTGAAGGTTTGCTCCTTGGGAATGATGTGCCATCCGTTATCCTGTGTCATTTGCTGAACTTCTTATCCTGTCCTTAGCGTGAACTCACCAGTGATGACTACAAACCTCCTTAGGATGGCTGAAGAACATCTTTGGGTAGTTGCTTCATCCTGGAAAGACATCAATTGAGGTGTCCCTAGCAGCTTTCTGTAGGTGCCTTGATTGTTGATTTGCTGCATGTCTGATCGCAGTCAGCCTGGAAGCTCCAGGTTCGGAGATCACCAGCTACTCCTCTTTCTGCTTTCCAGCTCTCTAATGGCTGGTCCTTTCTTTGGCATTAATTTCAGAGTCTGGGTCCTTGGATCCTTTGTCACAGATGCCTGCACATCGATGCGCATCTCCTGTCCTTCAGCATGCCTCTGGCTTCCACCTCATGGTCAATTGCCGTTTTTTTTTTTGTTTTGTTTCTTTTTTACCTCAGCAGATGAGAACATGCAGTGCATGCAAAGCGGACTCACAGCAAGAGGTGCAGCTCAGTGGAAGGAGTCACATCCTCTCTCTTCAGAGCCTGCCCCTCTTAGGGCTGCTGGGAGGGATGTTAGCTGGTCTCAGGCAAGGTGTCCTGTGCTTTGCTTGCATGGAGTTGCTTTCCAAGATGTGTCTGTAACGTGCTCCCTGGCACAGCGCTGATAAGGCAGCGCTCCTGTACTTGGGCGGCGTGGCTCTGTGTTGGGTAACAGGGGCTTCCCTTGTGTTTCACAGCTACACACTGGAATGCAACTATAACACCGGGCGCTCAGTGAACAGCATCCCCGTGGCCTGCCACGACAACGGACGGGCAAGCCCTCCACCCCCTCCTGCCTTCCCATCCAAATACACCGTGGAGCTGTTTGAGCAGGTAAGCTGGCAGCCGGAGCCCCGGCAGCAGCGCTGGGCTGAGGCGCGCAGCCAGAGCTGCTGGGTGTGTGACAGTCCTGCCCGGGACGGAGCAGTGCTGTCAGCCGCTTCAGTCTGGCAGCCCCTGCGCCAAGGGAGAAATTTTCCAGTTCTCTCTGTTTCTGCCCTTTTATGGGAAATGTCTCCGTGACAACAGCACGAATCGTGTATCAATCAGTGCTGTGGGTTTGGAGCGATGTGTGGGGGATGGAGTTTTCTAAGTGCCAGAACGCAAGGGCTCTCAGGACTTCTTATCCCTCCCTGAGGACCCTTTGAGACTGCCCAAGCCGTTAAACCTTCAGCTGAAAAACGCTGTTTGCCCTGTTGGCTGGGACCACGGGCTTCCCAACCCCTGCCTCTTGGGCAGCCTGATTTAGTCCCTGTCTCAACCCCACTGCTTACACATAGAGTCCTACATTCCCTCCCCGATGAGCGTGTGGTCGCCTGATTTTCTAGTGCCTGCGATGAGAGAAAGCAAGTCCCTTTGGCCGTCTGCCTCTGACTTGCCCTTGTCCTCTGTATATGCTGTGTGCCCAGAGACAATTCCTATGGGGACACTCTGGTCCTGGTAGGGGGGCCTGATAGGAGCCTGTAACTGAGATAAAATGAGCTTTGGGGGATTTGGGCTTTCTTTTGCTGCATCAAGTCCTTAAGCAGCTGCTGCTCTTGTTTGAGACCTTTCCTGAGAGATGCCTCTTGCTCTGGCAGGTCGGGAGAGCCCTGGCTGTAGCAGCACTGGACATGGCAGAATGCAATCCGTGGCCGCGGATCATCCTGTCTGAGCACAGCTGCCTTAGCAACCTGCGAGCCTGGATGCTGAAGCACGTGCGCGGCATGAAGGGTGCAGCTGGGTGTCCGCGGAAGAAAGGTGCCAGGACCCCTCCCAAGAGCTGCAAGTAAGGGCCTGTCAGGTTAAGTGCTCATGGCTCCAAAGCCTCCAGGGCTCATTTTTCAAGAGCTGCAGGATAAATCCAGTAAGGGGTGATGAATGTGCTCCAAGGGAGTCACTCTGCAGCTGAATGAAGCCAAGATTTATTTGCTTATTTTCCTACTTTGTAGGGGCCTCTGCTGTGAACCTGCAGGGCTTGCTTTATGGACTGTAGAGACAGATCCCCCTCAGCACTGTCAGCAGCAGGCAGGAGGGGGATCCCGCCAGGGCACACAGCTGCTCTTGTTTGAGGTTATTTGGGATTCATCAGTCCCAGTAACCTGGGAAGTAATTCTCTGCCTGCAGAGAGAACCACCCTCTCTTCTCCTCTTCCTCCTCCTCTCTCTCCCCAGTCCAGTCAGAGGCCCAGGCCAGGTGGATGTGGGATCGGGAGTGAGGGAGTGGAAATTTCCAAAATAATGCTGCTGCTCTGAGGTTACCAGGATAGAGACATCCAGTGTAGGACACAGAGGCTTGCTGTCACTCAGAGATGGCCAGTTGTGACACTGGCTCTGTTACTGCCCTGAAAAATGGAGCTGCTTGCCGACTTCCAAGATGAGAGTCCCAGAAATCTGGGGGATCTGAAAGAGAGCCGTGTCTCTACAGCAGCACCAGCCTGACGCTCGGTGCCTGTGCTGGGGATGGCGTACCCTGCTCGGCGGCAGCAGCAGGGAACAGGGCAGAGCAGAGGGTCTGGCTGAACGGCTCGCAGAGCCAAGCTGATGCTCCTGTTTCTCATTCCCTTCCAGTGGGCTCCCGACCTCAACCTCTGATAATGCCCTGTCCCGTTTGAGGAGCTTCAGCAATGGCACCAGTGGGAGCGGCAGCAGCCAGCAGGACTCGCCACAGATCAAAACCTCGCCCA